CAAAAAATCAGCAGTGCGAATAAATCTGTGCAAGGGTGTGAATTGGTATGGTTGATTAAGGTTACTGCAGGGGTGATATATGTAGTGCTGGTCTCCTTGTACTACGGCCAAGGGTATAACGTAGTAATTTCATGTCTCAAGGTTATACATACGTGCTCCAAGGTCGATGAAATTAAGACTTTGAAGTTTGCTTTTTCTGACATTTCCGTAGACCGAGTGAGTTGACAGACGCAAGCTGAATGCCGGCATAGGGGCTAAGAGACCAATTCCATTGGAGCCGACCGGGTGTTGCCGAATGGTTCGTGGCGGAACCTGACGGCTGGGGCCCTGAAATTCCCCACACACCAAGAAACTCTTAAGCGACTCCGTACAAAGTTTCAGCTTTCCGTGGTATGCTCCATCGACTAGAGACTGTGATGGAGAACCCCAGTCCAATGATTGCATTGTCTCAGTATCGAAAATGACAAGGTTGTGTTTTCTTTGCTTAGCATCTCTCACTTTTCTCTTTCTTCCTCCCTTCTTCCCCGAAAATTCCCCCTTTCCACCCCTCTCTTGTCCGCCCTACAGAGCGAACCCACCAAGATTGCTTTGCTCACTCCACCCCTTGCTTCGGCTAACCAGTTACTCGGTACACACAGGAAGTCGAGGTGGCCTCCCCTGCTCCAATAGGAACGCTCGGGGGAGAATCATAAACCCTGGACAAACATGATTCGGTGAAACACCGTGGGAGTCTCAAAATGACTCAGATATGGCCTGCGTATTGCGAGGCTCGTATATACTCCGTATGTAACATAATGTAGACGGAGTTCGCAAGATATGCGCTAAAGGCGACCCGCCATCCATGAATCCCCACCGGACGAGCTGGCTGGAAAGGATCGTCCCTGGCGTACGGGTCACATACGAGAACTGTTCCGTAATCAATTCCAAATTTTCGATCAACGAACCGCATTGGCCATGGCTTTGGCAATCAACCACAGTTCCCATACCCCGAGATTGGCTGAGCCTGGGGCTATCTCATTTGATGGTAGGTCGCCGACGTGCAGAGAGACGATCACTTCTCCAAGATTATCCACCCCCTCTCCTCTTTCTTTTTTCTTTTTTTTGCTTTGCCCTTCTCAGAGCATTGCATCTTGAGAGAACCCCGTCATTGCTGATCATTGGCTTCTGCTGCAGCTGACATCCCGTCAGAACCCACCATAGCCGACAAAGATCCACTCGGGACAAACAATCTAACTTAGGAAAAAGGGAGGAGAAGAAAAGGGACACTAAAAAAGCAAAAAGAAAGGGAAAGAAGAGAAAGGCATGTGGTGCGCAATGGCCCAGAGAAAAAGAAAAATTTTTACACCATTACAAGCCTTGTAAGGGTTGGTGCAAGCTGAGGAATGTGTCTAATCGTGCATTTTGACCAACCACCTTCTTGCTCCACTCAGGAGGCTTAACATCGACGTCTCGTTTGGTCGAATCCAAGGCTATGATGCAGACAGCGGGCTCTAAAACAGGGAGCGTCCTCTTTACGCTCCATCCTTCCGCGCCCAGGCTCGTTCACATCCTTAGGGCCTAAGGGACATACTTTCGGTATTAGTCGCATGTGCTTGCGAGTAACCGTCATCGGCGAATATATCTATATCCACATCTTCCCACCCAGAATATCCAAGCGTGTTGACTGCTCTGGCAAGTCTTGCCTTGAGCTATACTGCCTATCCCTTTTTTGAGCAACCAACATGGATGCAGCAGTTTTAGGACCGGCCCGTGTGCCAAAGCAATTTGTTCTGTGTTTCGATGGCACTGGAAATAAATTTTGCGGGGATAAGTCGGACAGTAATGTTCTGAAGATATTTCGAGTAAGTTGGCCCAACACAGAGGATCGAGAAGGTTCCATGTAGACCGTAAGCCAATGTCCTGGTCTGACACTAATGTTCTAACCAGATGCTTGATCGCAGCAAGAGTCATCAATTTCACTATTACCAGCCAGGAATTGGAACTTATGTAACTTCCAAGTCCCTGTCCAGCTCTGGCCGCTTCCATCGGATTAGGTCCGCATATCTGAAAGCAAAGGACTCCGCCGTCGGGTCCTCCTTCGCTGACCATGTCATGGGCGGATACAAGTTCCTCATGCGTTATTATGCACCCGGAGATGAGATTTACTTCATAGGCTTCAGTCGAGGTTCCTATATTGCTCGCTTCCTTGCAGAAATGTTGGACTTTATCGGCTTGCTCGAGGCTGGCAACGAGGAGCTCATCCGATTTGCATGGAAGACCTTTGCCAAATGGCAGAAAAGACGTAACACCAAAGGAGATACCGCTGAAAGGGAGAAACTGTTCCAGTATATGAAGGCCTTCCGGGAGACATTCAGTCGACCAATTACGAGAATTAAGTTCATGGGACTATTTGATACTGTCAATAGTGTGCCTGCGTTTGAATCCGCGTGGATGCAACGAAGCAAGTTCCCATATACTGCCCGCAGCTCGGCCAAGGTCATTCGACATGCGGTGGGGATCGATGAGCGACGTGCCAAGTTTCGACAGGACCTGATTTCTGAGGTCAGGCCATGCTGTGAGGAAAAAAAGTCCTCCCACTGGAAACGTCATCTACCCCGACTGCACCATGCTCCAGAGAAATCTGATGATGTCCCCGAAATCGTCATCAATGGAGGGGATAACGAGGATGACCCCAATCAGCAGAGGCACGGGGAGACCGAATCTATGTACCGCAGTGTGCGAAGCTCGAACCAGAGTGTATACAGCGCAAATCATCGATACCGTGCACGGCCACAACCCTCCCAGAGAAAGCTCAGCCTGGCTGTTCCCGGGGCAACAGCACCCACAGATGATAGAGCATCCATCAACAGTGACTACTCGGACATTTCGCTCCAAGTGCCACACGAACATATTGGGGCGGAAAATTATGATGAGGATGAGGATAGTCCGCAAGACATTCAGGAAGTATGGTTTCCGGGAGGTCACGCAGATATTGGTGGAGGATGGCAACAAGAGCCAGACGAATGGCCACTCAGCCACGCACCATTGGTTTGGATGGTTCAAGAGGCCCGGCGCGCTGGGCTCCAATTTGATCCTGCGAAGATGGAGCACTTTCAATGTCTAGAGGAGTATGATGAGGATTACTCCCCCATTCGCGAGAACATGCACTGGGACCTGAATACCAGTGCGTACCAAGATGGCCATCCGTTGAGGCCAATTGCAAGTCAGCAACTGGCAACCCATGTCGCCGCCGTTTACGGGGATGGGATACAAGCAACGAACGACTCCGGATCCACATTTCTGACGCCGCTCAAAGAATCCTGTTTGGCCCCAATACATGACTGTCTGCAACTCGGCAATGGCCTACCACCTCTATCGGTTCTCACATGGCGAATGATGGAGTACCTCCCATTCCGTCGGATGGATTTGCAGAAAGATGGGTCATGGAAACCGATCCGGTGGCCGCTTCCGTGCGGAGAGGTTCGTGACATTCCAAATAATGCCCAAATCCATGTATCTGCAATTCGTCGAATGCATATGGATGAGAACTACCGCCCCGGGAACCTGATCGTTGGAGGTGGAGGTCGTGGTGTTAGGCGAGCCTCTCCAGACCATGGAATTGGAAAATGGGCACTTAAAGGCCATCAAGGCGATATTGTGCGAGAAGTTTATGTGGCAGTGCGGGACGAGGAACCTGAGGCCTCAACTCTTTGCAAGGACGAAGAACACGATCACCAGTGAGACAACGTACCTTGAAGATGGGAACACCTATCTTTCTTCTCTTTCTTCTTTCTTTTCCTTTCTCTTTCCCTTTTCCTTTTCCTTTTCCTGCCTAATACCCCCAATAAACCTAGTAATCCCTTATGTACGTCACGGGATAGTGATATATAGGAAGTTCGTCTTTGGATCATCTCTTTCGCTGCTGCTATTCCATCTCTCAGTACCCTTTCTGTCCTTCATTTTTTTTTCTATATGTTCCGTCCAGCAAATGTGTCTATACCTTTGTCCGTTAGCCTAATAAGAAAGGGGGCCATATGCTAAAACAAGGATCATGATTCTCCAGTTCTTGTTAAACAACATTCCCGAGGGTATCTACGTACTACGTCCACTCCACAATATTTCTACCACTTACATATGGATTCCAAGGCACACATGCATTTCAATGAGTGGTTCATTGATGCAGACCAAACGGCGTAAAACAAATGGCATTGCCTAGATGCATGTGTCCAGATGGAAGCAGTACCCACCGCGTGATACACCGATTGTGAATTTGCTTATTGAGATATGCACTTGTTACGGCCCTTAAATCCGTCGGTTGAATTCCAATGACCTCTCTTGCTACACAGATGTTAACTCCGGTATTCGACAGCAGAGAGAAGAATAAAAGTGGAGTATACGAACAGCATGAGGGATTCAAATATGAAGGAATATATGAGAAAATTACTAATATAGTAACCGAAGGGTTGGAGTAGCAGAAGTCAATCACAACGGTACGTGGTCATGAGCTTGGACATGATGCGGTCAGGTGCATGTTGGGGGTGCGCAGAGAAAAAAGGAACACCTTGGGACTCGGGAGTATCTCAGGCCTGGGTGTGACTTGTTAAATTTCGTTTCCTTTCAGTTTTGTTTTTTAGTTTTTGTTTTTTGGCACGAAGTGAGAGGGAAGAAGAAAATGACCCTCGATATGAATATAAATTTCAGTCCGCGTACGACATGAAGGGATTCAACATGTTCAATGTGTTTCCTTTGATATACAAAATTGCAGGCGGTGGAGCGCGGAGAGAACTAAACCTCTTGTGGCTTGGCGTGCGCGAATTCATTGGCCGCGGCGGCCTTTCCTTTCCCATCACCCGCGCGCCCTCTTTCCTCCTGCTCTCTTTTTCAAGTCCGCGACTTCGAAGTCTTGACTTCACCACTTAACTTTACTCCCTTCCCTACCCCCTATCCCCTGTTTCTTGCACCTCCTCCATACACCCCCCCTCCAACCAGCATGAGGCCGATTTAACCCGACTAACGAATCGATGACGGATATGGAAACGTCTCGCTATTTATCCCCAGAGGGGATAATACTACCCCCTAGTCCCGTGGAATCGGTGGACTCTCCCGAGCCGACAGCGCCGGGGTCCTCTGACAACCGCAAGAACGACGTCACGATCACTCTGCCACGTCCCCCGGCCCCTTCTCCGAGTCGCTCGCCCTTCGCCCGTTCCCATTTTCGGTCTCGATCTCTGGCTGAGGTATCGGGCCTACCTCCTATGACGCGCGCTCACTCTACCCCGGGGCTGGACTCACGGGGCAGGTATATCTTCGTTCATGGTCGCGAGGCACCAACAAGTTCACCGGAGAATGCCGTGAAACGCTATCTACCATTTCAGGCCCCAATGGGGGACAGCCTTGAGTCTAGAATGGTACCCTTGAACATTTCCGAGCCCATTTTAGAGTATGCTGAGCTGGACACCGCGATGCCATCCTCTTCAATCCAGGGAGAGCCTCGTACGGCCTCACCTGTCTTATCCAACACTTTTCCCCGAATGACCCGCCGACGACCGTCATCCCCGCTCCATTTCAACCCCATGAATTCCACTTTTCAGTCTGCCAGCAGCCCCTCTTCCGCGCACTCATCTCCGATAATTCTCAACTCAAGATTCAACGAATCCTTTCCTAGTTATTCAACATCTTCTGCTTCATCAATGCCCTCAACGCCGACAAGCATTCGCTCGCGGAGCCCGAGCATTTCATCTTTAGAGACCATCCCGGACATTCCCGATGCCGAAGCTGCGGCTATTGAAGCTGATCGGATCGCTGCCTTGAAAGCTGCAGCTGATAGAGCAGATGAAGCGGATGCTGCGACGAGCGGAAATCGTCGACGAGGGGCGTCAGACGCGTCAGGCCCTTCAAGCTCCCTGATGAACATGCGAACCGTATCAGGGGGCTACGGTCTTAGGGCTGATAAGCGGAAACGGTGGAGCGTTTGTGGGGCCGAACGTCGTCAAGATCTCGACTTAGAGACGATTTGGGAAGATTGATATGTTGACCACGACTACTTCCTCCGCAACCTCTAACAAATGATCAAGCAACATACGCTCAACAAAGCAATTTTGTGGGCTGTGCTTCGGCTTTTAACCAAGGGTGTATTGTCTCAACGTTGAGTTTTATCTCCACCAGCTGTTGTTCCGACGTACCTTATAGCTCGACTTCCTGATGTGAAGGATTGTGCTATTGATATAACCGGCGACGCTCTTGAGTCCCGCGCCCCAGTTCCTTTTCTCTCGAGATAGCCTCTACTTCAACAGTCTTATCCCGGTTCCCGGTAATATTATCATGTGGCGCTGTATTATATTCTTTTGATTTGCTGGAACTTCTCCTGATTGTAACTGTTCTTTGCTCTTTGTTCTGGCTCTCATCGTCGGTGTCGCAATACCCTTTCCTGTCTTTAACTCTTGTCTATTGTTTTTGATTCATGTGCCTCACTAAATGGATATGTGGAGATGGAGAGTGCGCAGGTTCGTTGATACTCTTTGTGGAATCGTTCCATATTGTGGGTTGCACCAGGGCGCAAGGCATTATGATTCTGTACGGGTGGCTTGTCATCCGGGGGTGTTATCTTATTAGTCTGTTTTCTCATCTATCAAGCGAGGTTTAAGCGTCATTGTTGTGATTCCCCTGTTGCTTTTCATTTTGTTGGAACAATATTTTACATCATGGGTCAAATTGCAAGGGGTGTCCCTTGATTGTGTAAATAGAGCAGACTGTTCAATGGCAATCGTACATACATATGCTGGTTCATTTCGAAACCATCTACATCTTCGCTCCAAAAGCAGCAAAACCACTATATCCACCTACGAGTATCGACAGATCAGGTAAGAGTGATGTTCACCTTATATCTCAACATCTCCGTCCACGGAAGCCACAACCCTTTCCCCACTGGCAGAAGGTAAAGAATCATCCCTTTCCAAGCCTAGCCCCAACTTACCAAGACCATATAATTGGCAGATTTGTCCAGCAGCACGCTCACCACTCCAGTACGCCCCAGTCGTCGTCCCAAGCGCAACGAACGGCGCCGTATGCTCTCCAGCAAACCACACCCCACGATGCGGCCCGAGTCCCGCTCGCAGAACCTCGATATCTCGATCGCCCTCACTGAGCCCAACCTGAAAGTTGCAATACGACCCATTCCCGGCGTAGGGATCATTCTGCCACTGGGTTGCCATTACGGCGAGCGGTTTACAATCGGGCGATGACTCTGAATACCCATGCAGACGGGAGTAGAATGGGCGGAGGAAGTCATCGAGGAAATCGTAGTATTCCTGAGACGAGGGGTCGAGGTTGGCCACTTTAGATACTATATATGTAGCACAGGGCCCGTAAGTGTAGAAGAGGAGAGTTGGATGAGCGCAATCCGCGGGGAGAGCGGCTAGAGATAGGCATTCTTGGTTCCAGAGGATGCCCTCGGGTCCTTTTGTGTATGTGGGATCGAGGAATTGAGTGAAGATTGGACGCTCATAGGCGCTATAACTTGTGGCTCCACTGGTGGTGAGGTCATTGGGATCCTTATGCCAGAAGGCCCGCGGGAATGTGATGTAAACCTTTTCTAAGCGGCCGTAGGAGATGTTGTCGATTGCTTGGACGAGACGGGCAGGGAGCTCTGGGGTGAATACGGATTTGTTGTGCTTTAGCCATCCCAGTGGACATGTTACTACCACTTCATCGAACGTGTGAGTTTCGCCTGTGGCGGTTGTTAATGTTGTTTTGTGAGGTGCATTTGGGTCTGGTTGCACGTTGGAGTTGATGTTGGTGATTGGTTGGTTGAATCGGATATCGGCGTGCTGCAGGGCGGCCCTCGAGACGTGGGCGAGTATGTCTTTGTACGTGGATGCTACAAAGTAGTTGTCTGGTATTGAGAGTCAGTCGAAGGTACTGTATGTGATGACGGTGAGGAGAGCGTACTGCCATCTATACATTCTTCCAGGCAAAAGAACTTCAGACTTTGTCTTTCGATTGGGTCACCGACGTACGCTCCCCATTGTCTGCAGGTCTCAATACACCATTTTTTCTCTTCCGGAGTAAAGTTTACTTTCTCGACTTGGTCTAGGAAGAAGTCGAACAGACTTCGTTCCGGTGGGATAGAATCTTTATGAGCGTTACTGTACTTGAATGCTTTGTCAATGGTCATCCACACGAATTCCGAGATTTTCGTAGCTGTGTTGTCGTCAATAGGGCTTCCATCCATAGAGATGAATGCTTGATTTCCCTCGAAATCTTCCATGGTCGTCTTCGTCGTTTCTGCAATGGTCGCTATTGGATTTGTACCAGTGCCATGGATCCAGTTTGGGCCGCTTCGGATCATCAGCATGAGTAGTCTCGAGCAATAGAATGAAATTATAAAAGCAATGCACTTACAGATCTATTAAATGATCCCCAACCTTGCTTTGGTGAACCTGCTCGGTATTAGTATATCGACCTATTACTACTCAAGTTTTGTCTTTAGTGCGCACATACCCTCCCTCCGACACGATTTCTGGCTTCAAAGATTGTCACTCGCGCGCCATTTTGTACAAGAATATCTGCACATCTCAGGCCAGAAAAACCTGCACCAATAATGGCTACATGTGGGCTTTTACTCATGTTGGTATCCGAGAATACAGGGTTGGATTTCTGAGGCAGCAGCGACAGTGGGTATACTATATTGTCTGATTTGGTAGTACAGGCACGAGAGAGTTTCTGCACCGTCTCCTGGTTAGTGTTATGTGAGTAGTAGGTGTCATGAAACGCTTCGAAGTAGTCATGCCCCGATAGAATATCAAATAACCATGAAGATGTTCCTGACTCATGCTCTTGCTTAGTCCATGCTTCACAGGAATTGTCTGCCCGCCACCAATTTATGGATTGATGATGACGGAGTCAGGAGAATCCAAGCTTGTGGCGGGAGAATGAAGGTAGAAACACGCTCCAAGGCAAAAAGCATACAAAAAATGATATACCCCGTAAGGAAAGTGGGGTGGCTGATCTACATCGTTGATATAGGCAGCATTCCGACAATCCATGCCAGTGAAGAGACATGATGCAAGTGGCGCACACCCTCACAAATAGGTTTTATATGAAGTACAAGATGTAAATGAAGAGACTGTTTACTTACCAAAGCTGAAAAACACCGACTTGTATACAAGTGTAGCTGAGATAGCCTGAACATCAAACCGACGTGGAACAGAAAAGCGGACCTGCAGATAGTACATTTATTTATTTAGATGGGACTGAGCTCGGGCCACGTGCCACTTGCCGTTGGCTCCTGTTGCCGCCGAGGTCATTAACACCTTAAGTTATTACTATTTTGTTTTTACTACTGGTAGTCAGCAGTGCTTGCATTGAATGATATCCTTGATTTTTATCGTTCATTTCAATCGCTCTATTAGCCTGGAATTACATTTGGATATCTGAATATTTGACAGGGTCTAGTCATCAATATTTGGTAGGTAGTGGTGCCACAGCCGTCAGGGACGATATCATATCCCTTGAAGAAATGAATGGCTAGGCAAAGAAAGGGGTAGTTCGATCATCACAGGTTGAGCATCACAGATCATACATGAAGTCACCGCTTGCTGGCGCTCGCAACTTGAACATAACTACAAAGGAAATGAGTATGAAACAAAGGAAAGTTAACAAAGGAAATAGGTCATGGCACGAGGAAACGGGTATCTTAGTTCCTATCGCCATGCACCTTGGCTCAAGGACAACAGGCCTTGGATGCAATCGAGGTCTTCTTCCTGACTCGAACCACCCCCACCAGCCATGAATGTCGACACTTCTGTATCGATTGTTGGCAAAGCTTTCTCGTTTGCCTTACGCTGCGACGCTTGAGAGAGCCGAGAGCGTCTGGCAGATAGGTCCTTGTTGACTTTTCCATCCTTCCCGTTAGCATCTCTCAGAACGGGACGGGACGAATGATGTTGAGAAGCCGCTCGTCGGCGGACACGAGAAGTTTGGGTCCCGGGGATCCAGTTCTCCTTGTCTGAATCACCGCACTCTACTTCTCCATTGCCTTTGCCTGCCATGCTCTTCGATAGTTTTGCTGAGTAAGAGGTGTTCTTATCGTTGGTCATTTCGAGACCAGACTCGAGACGGCCCAACGACGACACCGCGCGCGATAATTTTCTCCTCTTTTCCCTTGTAGCTTGAGGGACGGGTGTGTTAAGATGGTCAGAGGAGTTGAATGTCGCAGTGTTCTTATACTTTGCCGATAGGCTTCGTGTCAACGAACGAGGACCGCCAGAGCGGAAGAATCCAGGGGATCCTGTATGTGCTCCACTTTGTGAGCTGGATGGGGTGGATAATGCACTCCGGGCATCAGTGTCGAAAACAGATTCCCAATTCCGAGGGTCGCGTGATCGTCCAAAGATTCTTTCCTTTTCGATAGATCCTCTAGGTGTCCCCAGAACCACTGCACTATTGCTTCTCCGAAGTCCCGAGAATCGAGGGGTCCGGGTTGGAAACATTGAAATGCGGTTTTTGGATGGTGATGGTTCCCCATCGGCACGGATCACGGCTTTTCCGTCTGAAGACATGGCAATTCGGAGCGCGTTGCGTCCTTTGGGCGGGGATGGAGTCAACTCGCCTTCCTTTCTCACCATAGCTTCTCCATCAAACGATAAGGATATACGCAGAGACGGTGGTGATTTTATGCTCTGCATTCCATATGGTGTTAAGGGTTGCTGTGCTTCTGATCTTCCTTGTCTAAGGTCCGTGAACGACCGCTTCCTTTTAGCAGAGTTCTGGTGTGGTGTATCGGTTGGTGCGCTCGCATGTTCTTGGTTCAATTCGAATTCAGACCGCGAGTTCTCTTGTGCCCCTTCCTTGTTTTCTGGGGCTACTGATGTTGCTACGCTCGTCTGGGAACTCAAGACGGGCTGCTCGGGTTCCTCTTGGCTTCCACGAACCATATCCGATGTTAAAGAGTCGTTCTCCGAGACCCGTGTCACCACATTGTTCTCATTTCTAGGGTCGTCATACTGCTCCGTCCCACTAGAAGAGCCTGGTTCCGCAGGTACACTCTCATCGCTGAAACTCTGTTTCGACGCGTCGGACCGAGGGGCCAGCAGTTCATGAGGTTGGAGGGGTTTCGACTTCCGACGATCATTCTGGCGACGGTTCTGAAACCATATCTATGCCGTTAAAGAGCAACAGTCAGAACAAAGGAGTGCTAAATCATTCAACCTTATCCAAGAGACGTACTTGGACTTCTTTTTCACCCAATGACACGCGACTGACTATGCTGGTCCGGGCCGTCTTATCTGGCTTCGGATTCCGTTGATACTCTGCCTCCAGAATTGCATGGTCTTCAGGACTGTTCGTTCAGAATAAGCACGCGTTAGCTAGGTATATCAATGGGGGCCGTTCCGTTTCATATACCTTGTACGGCGACGCTTCTGCCGTGCGAGTAACTTGTTATCGACACGCGGGGGAAGGTTCTGCGTTAGGGTTTTCTGCGAGTGTACGAGGAAGGCATAATTGAGAGCAGCTGTGGACTCGGACGCCTGGGCTGTTGGCGGAGACGATGAGCATGGCGCAGCAGAAGGCTCCGGGTCAGACATTGTGTAGTTGATAAGTCAGGATATAAGCATGAGGGCTAGAGAAGACAATTGCAAGACAGAAGCAGGAAAACAACCAGGAATATAAGAAATCCAGCACTAGTCCCGTTTGACGTTCTGGGGGGGCTAGTGATCTGGAGCGGAAAAGTGACCCCAAGGTGAGTGGGAAAAAAGCGCTTCATCTAATCGCGTCGCGATGTGGACGCGGACGCACCCGTGCAGGCGTTACAGTTTAGCTCCGCCCGGAGCACGAGGGTCCAACTTTCTGGAATTTCGAGCTTATTTTATATTTTTTAAACACTACTATTCTTTACTTAAATTATAGATGAATATAAAACGTCCTTTCGAGGAAATAAAATCTACATCGCTTTTTCCAAACACACTTTGTAGACAAATCACCTTCATATCACCAGCAATACCAAACCGCGGGGTTGATACACCATCGCGGTTCAGGTGTACAGTAACAACTACAGGTACAACACCCCATAGTTACCAACGGCATACGACGGACGCTTTATCATACACCTCCGGAATTCACCACACCACCACCTCAACCCTGGTTAGGATGAATGACTCTCTAACTAACCCAAGCGGGTAATCGGATATTCCCCAGATGCGAGGGCCTCTAAGCAAGGAGCAGCCGCCAGAGCCAATCCCGAAACAGATATTTAAAGCTCTCAATTGTCCTTCCATGGTTGACGTCGGACTGATAGTGTCATGTGCAGCTGGTTTGGGAAGCCCAATGTCACTGTGCTACGTTACAGCAACACCGCTTCTGGTCTTTTTTTTTTCTGGGGTTCTTTCGCAAGTTACTTACATACCGTCAGGAAATTTGAGATCGGATTACTACCCGCGTTGGACGCGCTGGACGCGAAGTCACGTGGGGCTTAATGGTGGGGATGACTCAGCTTCGATTTATGTAACTATGTAAATATTGAATACACAGCAAGTCTTCTTCTATGAATTACTAGTATTATAGTCTGTTTTCTATGAACTAATGAGCCTGCTGGTTCAGGTGGGTGGGGATGTTCCACGGATCATAATCCATGTGCACGAAGGCGCGGTCGACCGTCGGCACACTCTCGATCATGTACTGCAGACTCTCGCCGATGTCGTGGGCATCGCGCAGCCGGGTCTTCCCTTCCAGGATGATGTCTACTTCGACGTTCAAGAGGTCGCCGGCATAATATGCCCTCAGGTTCTGGATCTTGAGGATGGCTTTCGAGAACCGCATGGTCATGTAAAGTAGGACGCTCTGGTCGATGGGAGATGCAGCCGCTCCTGTGAGATGGCGGATGTGCTCGCCTGCAGTGCCGCCCCAGTTCCAGATGATGTATACTGAAAGGAGGAGACCGCCTAGCGGATCGACCCACCATAGTTTGGTGAAGGAGCCGACTGGAGGAGGAAAGGTTAGTTCGTTTTTCTAATATCTTGGGCGTGGGTTGCACTTACTCAGAGGGAAGAGAATACTGAACAAGTTGAACACGACGTCCGTTTCAGCGTCTTGTGCCAGGGCCTGGACACTCGAGTTTTTGATTAGCCGACACCAGAACCAGCATGCAAGTTTCACTACTACGGTGCTAGCCATCACCGCAATCGAAGGGATCGTTAGGTTGACTAGGGTTGTATCGTTGGACATCAGCCGAGTGAAGGACGTGATAGCCACCTGGACAAAGGAGGTCATCATCACGACGGCGAAGACCAACACGCTCAGGGGCTCCAATCGGCGCCTGCTGATAGGGTACTGATAGCGGTCATCCTTCTGAATGAGGGTCGTCGTCACCCAGACAATGGCAGTGCTCAGAAAGTCCAATGCGCCGTCCACCAAACTGGCCAGAACTGACAGGGAGTTTGTCATGGACATGACGACTATCTTCGCTGCTAGCAAGACCACGTTGGCGATGAAGTTCACGTAGATGGCAATGGTGACAATGCGGGCTCCGCTATCCACGAAGTCGTCGTCTTTCGGCCCGCCATCTGATAGGGACGGGGCACTTTCGTTTCCGTCCTGAGGTAGAAGTGGCGTGCTCTCATCTGGGATCCGATAGAGGTTGCGCGGCGTCCGTTTGATTCGGTCTTGCTTTTGTTGTGGCTCTCCGTTGCCTTCGGCAGCAGCAAACAGGCTGTTGTCAGGTACGTGGCCGTTTCCAGAATTCTCGGAATTGATCTCCGGTATGACATCGTGACCTTGGTGATAATCGCCGATGAGGCGATGCGGCAATGATGAGTCAAGTAGCCGGTCAATGTATACGTATTGTGCGATGAGATCATTGTTCCGCTCATAGTATTCACGTCTGCGGATGTTAGGTTAGTGGTCTCAATTGAGAGAAAGGAGTTACCCACAGCTTTTTCCCCATTCCTTTCAACGAGTCGGGGTTTCTATAGTACAATTGCCTAGAGACCATATTTCCATTAGCTATCCTGTTTTCCTCCAAGCACCCCCTACAAAAGCAGACATGTTCATGGACCATGGCCAATGACATACCAATTATAGACGGACTTGACATCCCCAATTAACTTCTTTGCCCGTTCCCATGGTGGCAGCTCATCATGCCGAAAGCTATCCTCCCAGGGTTCAGGCTCTGGGTGAAAGAACGCCTGCGAATGAGACTGGCTAGACGTTGACCGCGGGTAGAAAGGATCTCGCCCTCGGGCTCCAGACTGGGTCTTCTCGGGCGTATGGACTGATGAGAGCTTGAAAGTGCAGGGGATGATGGGGGAGAACCCTGTGGCATAGTGTCGGAACGACTCAGCCATGCCATTGTGTGGTATGATTAGGTGTGGATGAAGTTGATCGATGAGCAGGAACAGACAAAAAAAGAAAGAGAATCGGGTGGATATACTGATTTGTACTACATCATAGCGTACCTAACAGCTCGGACTAGGTTTGGTCGGCCCGGGATCGGAACATTCCATGGTAGCTCTCAACACTGTTCAAAATGATCACGCTAGCGTAATATATATAGTATCTGAAATTTAAGTCAGTTTAGA